ACTTCCCATGCTCCTGTTGGGGGCTAAGAACACACTTATCTCCCTGAGCATGGCCTTCATAAGTCCATTCCATCACACACATGCTCTGTTAAGGAGATGGCAAATGCACCTCCCTCTTTGGGGTGTATGTGCAAAGTGTAGTCCTAAGCCGTGGAAGAGGAAGTGACATGGTTTTTAGAAGCCCCAGCTGAGCCCAGCTTGTAACGTTGCCTTTCCAGGTGCCTATGGTGGACTGATGGAACGCCCCTCCGCCTCCATGTCTCCCAGCTCGGTCTCTATTGCTGCCTCACACTTCGATTCAATGGAGCTGCCGCCTCCTCAGCTGCTGCCTCGGGTGCCAGTCAATGAAGGGCAATTTTCCACTGGCTTCCTCCATACAGCTTTCCCCGAAACCCCGGAAACCACAGGTAATGCTTTGAAATGGGATGAGAATGCTTGGTCTAGAGTTGAGGAGGGCCTAAGGAGTCTTTTTCCCCCCCCTACCGGAGATCGTATTGAGAATGGCATGATGGTAGAGGAAAAATGATAGTAGTCTGCAGACTGGCCAACCCCAAAGTGGGCAGTGTTTGTACCACTTACCATGAACTTTCTTTTTCTGATGTAACCTCTGAAACTGTATACCATCCGGTCAAGGCTTCCATTGGGCCACATGCATCAGCGTCCCTTGGGTTGAATGCTGTGGAAGGAAGCAAGTTCCAGATTCTTCTGAGTAGGTTTTGGCTATCTTCTGTTGCTTTTCTCCTTGCTCAGGTTCCTTCCTCTTCCAAGGGGAGCCCGACCCAGGTGGGGGTAGTCTTGGTGACACAGAGCACCCGCTCTCTGAATACCCATGGTTCCATGGCACCCTGTCCCGTCTCAAAGCCGCCCAGTTGGTGTTGGCAGGAGGAGCCAGCAGCCATGGTGTTTTCTTAGTGCGTCAAAGTGAGACACGGCGGGGTGAATACGTCCTGACCTTTAACTTCCAGGGAAAAGCCAAGGTGAGTGGAGTGGCCTGGGGGGGCCTATCAAGTGGTGCTTAGGGGCTGTGGGACAGGGTAGACTGCAATCTGGCTCGAGTGGTTTCCCACTCAGCCTCCTTTTCCTACCCCTAGCATCTGCGCCTCTCCCTGAATGAAGAAGGGCAGTGCCGTGTTCAGCATCTCTGGTTCCAGACCATTTTTGATATGCTGGAGCACTTCCGGGTCCATCCCATCCCCCTTGAATCAGGGGGCTCCAGTGATGTGACGCTTGTCAGCTACGTGGTTGCTTCACAAAGGCTGCATGGTGAGTGAGGATTAAGTGGGGCTGCAGGGTGGAAAGAGCATAGACACTATTGCCAGTCCATGTCATGCTCCATCTCCCACCATCTTCTTCCATTATAGCTCCAATCGGCCCCTCCTTTGTTGCCCTGCTCTTTGTCTAAGACTTCTCTTCCAGCTCTATGCAGTGTGCATGTACCAGGAGGGAGGATAAACCTGTTCACCCCATGTTCACTGCTGCCTCTCTTCCTCACCCCCAATCCCTATTTCTGATGTGGGCATCTCTGTCACAGGCCGGGACCGGGCTGGGAGCCGAGCGCCAGTGTCTGGGTTCAGTGGGGACCCCGACTCGCCCCCCAACCTCATCTCCATCCTTGCTGCTGCCTCCGCGGGTGACTGCGTGTAAGTGTGCAATAGCTACCACAGGAGGAAGGCAGGGATATGACCGTGTGTGTGCGTGTGTCACGGCCCCACGCCATAGCCATCGCTATCCATGGGTCATGTGAATGCAGTGTCTACGCCATCCACTTGTCTGACACCAGGAGGCAGGGAAGAGATTTCAGGTGCTCCTTCTGGCATTTCCAGGTAGGACTAAGAAAGGCTTCTGTGCAGAACCCTGAAGAGTCTCTAATAGTTTCTCTAACCACATGGAACCATAATCTGGTTTGGCATCAGGCAGTTTCTAGTGTTCTGTAGAGGGGGATCTTAATTGCCATCTCAGAACTATTGTTTGGGCAACTTCTATAATTCAGTTGTATTAGATATAGCAGAACTCTGCAGAAAAGCCTTGCTTGTAATGAACGTATCAACAGCCCAAAGTTAAAGATGACCTACCCAGACCCCAAAGAATAGACTATTGCTGCCTCTTTTACTGCCTGCCTTCTAGGAATTTACTAACTCATGTGGCTGAAACAATTCTGAATTTCGTGACACCCCCCACCCTCCGCCCAGGCAGGGTTATAATGCAACATGAAGATATACTATTAAACCAGTTTTCACTAACCAGGTCCTTTAGGGTTTGCGTTAGACTGTCTTCCCCATTTGCTTGGGGATCATAGAGTTGTAACCCAACACACATAATGAATGCCAGGTTGGAAAAAGATTGTGTTAGGACAACTGAGAGTGAAAATATGGCCAGCATGATTGCCTTAACTTTTGTCCCATGCACAAAAGCACAGGAAGGAATCCCTAACTGAAAGGTCTTCTACCTCCTAAGCATGTTCTAGAAATAAGGTAGGTATGTTGCATAGTTATTGTCTGGTAGAGAAGAACAAACGAAAAGGCCAGCACACTTCTGAAATAGCACATGACATTTATAATGAAGTCTAAACATTTATGCTCTTAAAAAGTGTCAGTTTTTCAGCTTTAAACAATAAAATATTCAGCATTCAATATGTAGGTTGAAGTTACACGGCACACTAAGACAAAACAAATCATATTATGGTTTCACCTGGCATGTGAAGCCATTCCTTACAATAGTTTAGTGAATGAATCCTCTAATATTGCCAGCATAAAATACATGGAGATTCCCTTCAAATTCTAGAATCTGATATTGGGTAGAGAACTAGAAAAGTTTGAAATTTTCTGTTTATTAGAAAATCATGTTCTAATGCTCACATTCAGAGTATGTTGCCAGTATCCTGTGAGAAGTATATAGAATAATGGATAGGAATTGCAATGCCATATGTATCATGCCTTGCATCTCTCCATAATTATCAACATTTTTGTATTAATATTTGGAATTGCATTCTCTGCCTGCATGGTATCTATGAGCATCAAATAAGAATAAAACCTGAAAGATCACAATAGCTTAGTATTTCACCTTGTTGAATCATAGTTCAAATAGCTTTATGTCCCTAAAATGCACTAACTGTAGACTGATAGTAAAAACACTTAAAATTAAATAGGTAAAATTATTTTGAACAGGTGATAGTCTTACTGATCAGTTCAGGCAATTTCTGGGCCACTTAAGTCCTGGCTTAAGTAAGCTTGACTTAATGGAAAGAGTTCAAAACATGTGGCGGTCATTTTTGCACATGTACAAAGTGGCCCATGCTTTTGTGCATGTACATAGCGTGCAATCCAGCATCCATTGCACAAGGTTCCTAGAATGGGAACTTGCATAACCAAAGGATTGTCTACAAATTGTCTACAGTCTACAAAGCTCAGCTTTGTGCAGGAAGCAGAACACTTTTAAGTCAAGTTTGCATATTATAATGGATTATAGAAAACACCTATCTGTGTACAGATTTTTTTTTTTTAGTATGGAGCACAGCCCCAAGATAATATTAATCAGCCCCTGTCCTTATACAGTAATAGTAATTTGATTTCATTCAGGAGCTACAGCAGAAAACAGGTTTTAGAAATCAAATCAGTACAGCATAGCCATTTCCAGACAATTCCTGAATGATTGCATTTGAGGAGCCCTGGATACTATAATATAGTTAGTGATGAATCTGTTCATGGAGAGTGTCTTTAAAACTTGCTGAACTAACACTGGGTTTCAGTGTTTACTCCCTCTTCCTGTCTTAACCCCAGACCATCCTGTCTCTCTGCCTGTCTGTCCGTCTGTCTCTTCTCTCCCCCCACAGAGCCGAGCACCTCTCGTAACCTGCCACTGCCACCTCCTCTCCCTCCAGCCCGGCCATCTCATGCTCCTCTGGACCATGGATTGCTGGAGTCCAAGGGGCAGACTGAGGAGGAGGCCCAGATGGAGCCAGAGGTGGACGAGGGAGCATCTGTGAGAGTCGGGGGATCCCTTCCTCTGCCAGAGGAGCCGGAAGGACGAGCCAGGGCTGTGAACAACCAGTACTCATTTGTTTGAACCCAGTGGTGATGAGAAAGAATAAGGGAACAAGCCCTTTTACTATAACCATCACTAGATGGAAGATCTAATTCTGACCATAGGTACCAGATGGGCTTGAATATCCAACAGACTTCTAGACTTTCCTTGAGTAATCTTTGAGGTGGAGACTGGCCTCATCCCCTCAGTTCTTCCTGCCCCCTTCCCCTGTGTATGGAGCAAGCGTCACTTTTGCTTACCCCCTCTCCCCACCCAGTTTAGGTACGTGACCCTCTTGGGTTTATGCTATCAGCTTTCAACCCCTCAGTCTGCACTACTTTGGTCCTGTTTGGGTTGCTGAGAAATTAGCCTGCTCTTTCCCTCCCTCCTCCTCCTCCTCCTCATGCCCCCCTCCCTTTCTTCAAGCCTCTGCAGTTGGATAGTCCACAAGAAACACTACGTGGAGGAAGTGGGAGTGGATGTAGCTCCAGGATAAACGTTGACTTCCATGATTTGTACCCTTGCCTTTCTTGGTGAATGTATGGAGTTTCTGAATGTAATCCCTTCTCTTCCCAGTCTCCTCTTGGGGGGAAAGTTAGCTGCCTCTTCCCAATTCAAATATATATTTATATTCTGTTCTCTCTCTCTTTTTTTCTATCCCCTTCCCCCAAATCATAGGAACTGGCCACATGTCATAGTCTACACCCCAGGGAAACATAACATGCAACGAAAATACACCTTTTGGGAGACTGTCCTCTTCTTATTCCTGCTGCACCCCTCCTTCCCCTCCTCTTTTAAGATTTATTTTTCTACTGTGGACTAGTTGGACTGCTCGGGCCCCCCTGTCTTTTCAATTTTTTCTCTCCCTTTTTTAATTATTCTGAGATACTGTTCTGTGTCTGTTTTGTTTATGTGGGGGGGAGTTTATAAAAAAATAAAGGAAACGTCATTTTACCTTTTTAAAGTGAAACTCTTTTTTATAAAAAAAATATGCCCCAAAGTTAGATCAATAAAAACAGGAAGGTGGGGGAGCAGGTTGTGTATTTTTGGGTAAAATGAGTATTTGTCAGGTGTCCCCTTGCTTTGAACTAATTTTCCTGCCCAGATCAGCAAATGAGGGTGTTACTTTACATTTTACAGGTAGTCCTTGCAATTCTGCTAACTGAAGTGGTCTTCAAGTGGGAAATCGCATGACTGCCACTGTGCTTTCCGGCTGGAAAGAGACAAGACTAGTCCGTTTCACACCTTCAGCTTTTGTTTGCCTCCTAACCACTTGCACACATCGAAAGCAATATGATCACGTTGGCAGCCCGGGGCTGGGAGTGCAGGCACGCTGCGCAAGCAGTTTACAGTATTCTCTTGAAATCTCTTCCTCTCCAATCTCTCTGCTTTGTGGGGGGGAGGGGGTGAAGGGTCAGGCAAAGGAGAGATTGCCTACAGAAATCACTTGCTCTTTTTTCTCCCCGCCCCCCCACCCCCCCACCCCCCC